TTCAAAATAGGTGAACATTTGTATAGAAAGCACGTACATGTAAAATCGGCGAAAAACCTTCTTACATTAAATTTCTAATTTCTCTAATACATAGATTTTTCTTTAAGAACTATATGTTGTTGAACATGGGTGGAATTTAAAGACTCCGTTCCTTGAAGATAACAACAGTGTCGGTGGAGATTGTCCTAAACTTAATTAAAGTATTGCTACAGAAATTATTATAATACTGCAGGAATTTTCCTTTAATTATTAATTTATGTTATGTTTTTGTATTTTCTTATCTAAACAGTTTAAGCACTATTTTGACTTTTAACTAATCATAAGCTTTAATTTTGTGTAAACACGAGGAACACATGTCTGCTATGTTGTTGCTTCTGGTTGCATCGTTCTACATAAGCATGCAAAAAGTACCTGATAAAAATCGTCATAAGTTGATTAACCTAACTTCGTTGCAATTATCTCTCTGTCCTTTTTCACAATAAAGACGTCAGTAAAAATTTGTAAAAGTGTTAAAGAAATATGTACAACGATCCGTGTGTCAATCTGTGTCGATCCTTTACAATGACGTTAAAGACGTTGCCAGCGGTTTTACTGTGATTTTCTTTATATTATTGTATGCCTACTTCAGGAGAGTAACTGAAACTGCGCAAAACGCAATACATATAAAACAAATGATACGTCACATTTCAAATACCATTGAAAATCTTCATTATCATTGCCTGGTACTTCTATTAAGCCATTTGATATATAAATCAAGGACACTATGATGAGAGGCGAAAAGTACAAACACAAGCGCTGATCTGTAATATTATAATGAACTTTCAATTGTATATTTACGCAATTTGTTTTAGCTTGGTACCGTGTGTCCAATTTAATTAAATATGGAAAATACTTTGCCTTGATCGTTTGTGTTATTCGCCGTTTACCTTTCCAGTAAACATAAATATTGCAAATAAATACAGAAGTGACCACAGTGGATACCATATACATATAAAAAAAAAATTAACAATGAACAACGTATCTGCTATTGTCAATTGAGACCTGAATATCTCAAGACTTTGTTATTGCGATATCCGGAGGCAGTTTGTTCCAGTCCTTGGCACTGCCTGTTAACGAAGAAGGAACACTGTTTACAGTCCTTTGTAGCTGGTTGTAATAGGTATGTATGATTTCCTATGCGACTGGTTTTTGTAAGTATTTATTCTTGTCTATGGCTAGCACGTCATTTGTTATTTTTTTTAAATATATGATACTGAAGATGGATGATTATAGGGTAGTCGGAGCTACTGTTCGTTTCCTGTCTTAGTCCTAGATATCTATAAAAATAAAACAAATTTTTTTTCGAAGAATTCAAGTTAATGATTTTTTTTTAAAATGGGGTATCATTCTTTATTTGAATCGTACATTTCCTGTATCTTGATATAAAATACCATGTATTTTTAAATATACAATGGTGTGTTCATTCTATTGCATGCAAACAGTCAAAGGAACTGGATGTTTTAGATAAACTACGTGCTTTTGATGGTCCTTTTGATTCTGTTGACAGTTTTTAATTTTCAACTCCTTACACTACACTTCAACACAATCTTATCAAACAAAAGTTTTCCTATTTAATTAAATGGTCGTTTGGTAAATCTGAATGCAAATGTATTTGCTGCAACTCATTTAAAGCCTTCTTCTCTAATGAGAAAGGTAAATATGCTAGATATACTTACTGGAGGTGTGATGAGATGATTGAAGCTGTTAATTTTCTCCTCGATAACATTTATGAACGTTTCGGCAATAAAGTTTATCGACAGGTTGTAGGTATTCCTTTTGGCACCAATTGCGCACCATTAATAGCAGATTTGTTCTTGTACTGTTATGAATCACAGTTTATGACCAAACTCAGTAAAGTCCACTCTGCCTTCTTGAAGTGTTACTTTTAACCACGATAACTCAACTCCCACGTGACATATCAGTAAGAGGGAAGGATGAGAGATAGTTTTTTTAATTAGATTGATAGAAAAGGCACACATGTCCTTTTTGAAAAGCGCAAATGTCATAAAAATTAAAGCGCAAATGTCTATTCATAAAAGGAAAACGTCCCCCGCCGAATGGATCACTGATACCTGAAATCAACTTATTGATTAACTAGAGATCACTGCACTGCGGATTTTACAAGTAAAATAGACTTTTATTTAGACAGATTCTACTATAAATACATTGTATTAATCCATAAAAAATCTTCTTTGAGACATAGTTTACAAATTAATGTTATGTTCTGTAGACTGTTACAAGTAAAAAAGAAACTCCCGGACACTGAACAATAAATTTATTGTTTAAACCTTTACTGTAGTAGTCCCACAATATCCCTGTCAAAATATTATGTCAAAGCATAGACGATTTATTTAGTGAAGGCAGTTGCGTAGCTTGACCCTTATTTTCATTGACAGAGGTCAACGATTTGATATTGGGATTCAAAGTCTGACACAGTTCAAAGACCGCAATGTGGATTGGAAATGGACGGTTACGGCAAATCGACGTCACAAAACATGTGTAAAGTCGATTTTTATACAGGTTTGATTGTTATTTGCCTTACATCAAACGACAAATGTTTCATGCATATCCAAGACAAGAAAAAAATAACCATATTCAATAATATAGGTTCTGCAGAGGGTGTCGACCAGTATAGGAGCACGAATTTCGACTGCAACCGGAAAAAAAGGAGATCATGTTAGACAAATAGAGAAATTTTGTCTTCCAAAAGGCCCCCTATGGACCCCGGACAGATTTGTTTCATGGGTTCTTTAACGCGTAGATTTATATATCGATTTTCAGCAACTTAAGTTAGCGAGATGCGTGGGTTGATATAACTGATTGAACTATGAAGCCTGGCTCATACATGTGTTAATCAAGGAACATGTCGGTGGAAGGATAGAACAGTTGGTTCCCATGGGAATGCCAAGTGTCTGTTGAAAACCACATCTATTGAACGTAAATAAAAATCATCATATCAGTTTCACAGTTCTGACCTCTTGTTTGGACCACTTTTGTTACAAAGTTTACATTGTCCGTTTCTAAAACAAGAATTCTGTATCAACCTTGATCATTTCAGGAGATCTAATTAATTATTAGTTTTAAGTTGATTGAGGAATGCTCGTTTAAAGGATAGAGAAGTCAAATGTTTTGAACCATCTTCACTCTCAACTCTATACTTTTGAGTACACGTTACATATTTTATCTATCTCCATCTTCTCTATTTTTATTGATAAAGAATTTGGTGAGGCAGTTAACTCATTTCCTTAAGTGAAGCTACGCCTCTGTAATGTTTCATGCTCCAGAGTATGACCGTGAAGCTAGTATTTTTGAAATGCCCAATTTATTTTGGAGGGAAAGAGCTTGAACGTGCAAAGTTCTATAAATATCTTGGAATTAAATTTACATCTAGGGGTAAATTTAAGCTATGTTAAGATGAATTATATAAAAAAATCACTTAAAGCATGTTTTAAGTTACAGAGGTGTTTGTCTTCCTCTAATCCTAGTATTACAACTTTTATACATCTGTATGATCATATAATAAAACCAATTCTTTTATATGGTTGTGAAATTTGGGGAATGTTTATTACTGATTCAGCTACATGTAAGAAAAGAAATGAATATATGTTAGAAAAGGTTTTTTTCTCAGGATTCTACCGAAAGGTCACATAATAAATTTATGAAATACATTCTTGGTGTTAATAGAAAAGCAAGTAATATAACTGTGATGTCAGAACTTGGTAAATTTCCTATTTATTTTACAGTTATCTTATCAATGTTAAAATATTGTCATAGACTAGAAGGTTTGAAAGATGAATTATTATATGGTGCCTGTATGTGTATTAATAAACAGTTACAATGTAAGTTTGTTAAAAATAAATTGTGTGACAGCTTTCTTAAATATTGGAATCATCTTAAGTATCAAACAATGAACACTGAAAAAGGCAAACTTGACACTTATTTTTCATTTAAAGATTGTTTTCAAAAAAAAAATATTTAGATATCATTGATTTAAAAAAAAGGCAGTCTATATGTAAATTAAGAATGAGTGCTCACCCATTAAGAATTGAAACTGCCAGATATTCTATTCTATTCTATTCTATTCTATTCTATTCTATTCTATTCTATTCTATTCTATTCTATTCTATTCTATTCTATTCTATTCTATTCTATTCTATTCTATTCTATTCTATTCTATTCTATTCTATTCTATTCTATTCTATTCTATTCTATTCTATTCTATTCTATTCTATTCTATTCTATTCTATTCTATTCTATTCTATTCTATTCTATTCTATTCTATTCTATTCTATTCTATTCTATTCTATTCTATTCTATTCTATTCTATTCTATTCTATTCTATTCTATTCATTGCATTGCATTGCATTGCATTGCATTGCATTGCATTGCATTGTATTGTATTGTATTATTGTATTGTATTCCTTTTCAACATAAACATTTAATTGTAGCATTGTCCTCAGCTCTGAGGTTAGAAAGGCCAGGTGGCTAACATCAATTATACGGCCGTGACATAAACTTGATAATGCATTCATAACACAATTTTAAAGCACTTGTCAATGGAAACAAAATCCTATATACTTTAACATATAATAACACAAGGTACTTAACTCGCATTTTTTAAAAATGTCACCCGGTCGCTAACTTCCGTTATGTTTCGATTTCTCGGTTGTCTACCCCACTAAAACTTGTTATGCCGTAAATCTAAATTGCTTTTTTTTTCAGATACAAGTAAGTTTGCGACCGGGTGACATTTTTAAAAAATGCGAGTTAAGTACCTTATGTTATATTAAGGTATATAGGAGTTTTTCCGAGACAAGTGCCTGTGATTCATAAGGGTAACAAGACACTTCGGCACCAAGCCATTTCGGACTGGTTCATCTTTTTGTAGAAGCTAATGTTTTTCAAATTTGAAGCATGCAGTTATCTCCCCCCAATATCCTGTCATGCGTAATGAACTGTAAATAAGGTAAGGGTGACTTTTTCGGGGGAGGACTAAATCATATTTTGCTGCGTTATCGTGAGTGCAGATAAGTGACACAAGGTTGCTTCAGTACTTTAAATATTTATGTAGGATAGCAGATCTGAGAATATTGGTCTCATTACGTAGGTATCCTGGTTTGTCATGTACAACTCATCCGATTTTCAGTGGGAGGTGATTTTGCAGACTACACAACGAGTTGTTTCTAAACACAACACGGAAAACACTACTGAACTCTTTGGAAAAAGTAACACCGAACATTTCGCAGTCCTTACTCAGAAAAGATTTTGGTGTCCGGTGTTCGTAGATGGAAATGTTGTTGGTAATTTCATCCTTATCCTTCGGTCTTTTTTGAATAGTTGTCTTACTGGTCCTTATACCACATCTCCTTTAATTTAATATGATTTGTACATGTAATTTTATCGCATGCCTAATTTTATGCAGCAATTATACAGAAGTCCATTACAGAAAAGTGTGCAAAATCATCTCAGTGTTCAGGAGATCACAATGTCCCCAGTTAAGGTAGAGTTTATCTGTGTTTAACCGAATTATGAGGTCTTGAAAAGCTATTTTTTTTTATTGCGATGTCTTCCTTTGACAACATAACAGATACTATGAATTGAAAGTTCCATAAATTTTCATCTGTCATCTTTAGTGAGTTCAGATTTATTTCATACTCTGAACTTGCAAAGCGAAGGATCCTGGGCAAAATGTAGAAAAAATTGGGCCAACGTCATTACGGCTGGAATTGTAACTTATATCATCATTACCATGATTACCAGGGTTCTCACTAAGGATTTTTGAAGGCGAGTCCAGGGACTCATCATTTTTTTACCATGGCTAGTCCAACATTGGCATGACTGAGAAGAAGAAATTTATTGTTTTATAATTTATTATTTCAGTCTACATGAAAAATTAAAGCCTTATAATGACTTCAAATTTGATTATTTTAAAACTTTTGCTTTAAAATGCTGGTGTGTATGCTTAGTTGATACATTATTTTACAATCTTGATGCATCTTTGGACTTGCCAGTTTTTGAAAATGATTAGTCTAGACAGATTTTCATGAGTCATGGACTCACCTTAGTGAGAACCTGGATTAACTGAGCACAGAAAAGGTATAAAATACTATATGCAAATATTTCTACATGTAGCTGTCAGTGAAAATTTCATGGTAAGATTTGCTCTCAAAATTCAGCCTGAAAAATTTGCTTCAGCATTTGAAATATATATAGCTAAGTATGCTAAAAAGAGGCATCTACCAATACACTGTATCGCTATTTGGACACCATTACAGGACTTCACAGACATTCTCATAAACTTTTACATCATAAGTGAAAATGTTTGATGTCACAAAGCAAAAGTGGTTGTTGTACATGTAGTTAAAGTGTCCCAAAATCTCAGGGTCAAGTGTCACAGATTCTCAAATACTAAGCAGCAATAAGGTCTACATGTATGTGACACAGTAGGTATATTTGATCCTAGTTCAAGATTGCTCTAATATCTGACCTTTTTACAACTTTTAGGGTCTGTGGAACATCACAGCACTATCAATATAGAAAACATTGAAATTGTCGACCCAGACTTGGGGCAGCAAGTTTCTATCTCAAATCATAAAATTAAAAGATCCATTTTCCATTCAGACTTTGCTCTGAATGCCCCCACAACCCCAACAAGTCCTACAAAAAAGATCAGGGTTCTCGGTCATAAAGCTTTACTCAGTACTCGAAACACCAAATCCACCAATTTGATTGGTTGAGGTATGAGTCTGAGTATGATAATTGTACTCGAAATTTTTATAACCGCAAGGCCAAACATCAGAGCATTGATCTCAAATGAAATTTTTGGCATGGAACGTTCATTTTAGTGAAAGTGAAGTGGAAGCAGCTGTAATTGCTGTTTCTAGTGACAGAAATTTGTTTGATCTTTAAAATAGAAATTTCATTTAAGACCTGGGTTCTCACTAGGAAATTTGTAGGGTGAGTCCTAGGACTCTTCATTTTTTGTAATGGTGAGTCTCAGCTGATTTTGAAGAGTCTATAGTATACTGTAATACAATATACTGCAGCTGTGCTATTTGCACAGTCAAATTGCATTGACTGTGTATCACCTTGTTTATGAAGTTGACTATGCGTTTCCATAGAGGTTTATTTATGACGTCATTAAAAGTACAGGTTCCATAATTTTTACGTCGTTCTCTCCAAATTCAAAAATGATGGTTTTTACCCTAAATATTTCATTTGAAACCGTTGTAGGAGTTACAGTATATAAAGAATAACCATACATTGTCTCGAAACATAAATTTTATTTGTACTCGGCTCAAAACAGGATAGAAATGCTCGGAAAAGTCTCGCTTTCTACCTGTTCCTGAGCCTTGTTCAAATAAAGTTTATATTTTGCGACAATGTATTCTATATTTGTAACTCAAATATAAATGTAGTTCTTATCTTACATGTCTAATTTGGCTACCTAGATTTTTTTTTTTAAGTATGGGTTTTCTCATTGTCGAAGACCAAACTTGACCTGTGCTTGTTTAAATCCTTTTCCTTCGGTCATATCTCCTTATATTTATACAGCTGTATTTAGTATTTTTTCGATTCTGCAAAATTTATGTCGCGAAAGCAAGACATAGCGATCCTAGATTCTGTCATTGGTGACCCGTCAGCAGTGTCAACATTTAGGTTCAGTCTGTGGTTCAAGTTTTTTAGACATTAATAACTTTGTCAAACCTTCATGGAATTTAATTAAATTTGGACAGAAGCTTGTTTCTGACCAAATGACAGTATCCAGAGCAAAATTTGAAAATATTTTTTTTCCTTTTTCCGTATTTTACTGATATACATGTATGGACTTATTTTGTTTACAGTTGTCATTTAGATTTAGTCTAAGGTTAAAGTTTTTCAGTCATCAATATCTTTGTCAAACCTTCATGGAATTTTATGAAACTTGGGCAGAGGCTTGTTTATGACTAAAAGACAGTATCCAGACAAAATTTTGATAATATTCATTTTCATTTTTCCATATTTTACTGATATATGGACTTTGTTTTTTTTACAGTTAACATTCAGGCTCAGTCTAAGGTTAAAGTTTTTCAGTCGTCCATAACTTTGTCAAACCTTCATGGAATTTTATTTATTTTACAATACTGATAAATGGACTCACTTTTTAAATCAACATTACAATTATACACTGACAGCAGCAATCGTAGGCTAGACACAGGGTTCTGCGAAACCCTTTATGAATTTTTGTTCTTAAGTGCAAATGTTGAAAAACATATTGAGTTTTATCACAAATAAATTTTCTAAGAATGCAAGCAATGGAAATGTACAAGTAATCAAGTTTTGAATAAATTCATAATAGAAGCATAAATTTCATATATATTTTATTCCAAGTTTCACTTTGTTTTCAACATTTTTTTTTTTTTTTTGAAATTTCTTTTAACATGTGTAATATCTTTAGGGTTTTCTTCACTCCTAATGTAAAATAACATTTACAATGTTTGTTGGCATTTAAATTTACATAAGAATTTGTAATGTTGAAATGCAAAGTACAATCTACATTCAGTACATGTACATTGTACATGTAGAACAAAGGTTAACATGTACAGGAGATGCAATTTTTAGCTTACCTGGCCCAAAGGGCCAAGTGAGCTTTTCTCATCTGATACTTGGTGTCCGTCGTCCTTCGTCGTCCGTTAACTTTTACAAAAATCTTCTACTCTGAAACCACTGGACCAAATTTTACCAAACTTAGCCACAATCATCATTGGGGTATCTAGTTTAAAAAATGTGTCCGGTGAACCGGCCAACCAACCAAGATGGCCACCATGGCTAAAAATAGAACATAGGGGTAAAATGTAGATTTTGGCTTATACCTCTGAAACCAAAGCATTTAGAGCATATCTGACATAGGATAATATTGATTTCTTTTGATCAAGATCTATCTGCCCTGAAATTTTCAGATGAATGGGACAACTTGTTATTGGGTTGCTGCCCCTGAATTGGTAATTTTAAGGAAATTTTGCCGTCTTTGGTTATTATCTGGTTATTATTATAGATAGAGATAAACTGTAAACAGCAATAATGTTCAGCAAAGTAAGATCTACAAATAAGTCATCATGACCAAAATTGTCAGTCGACCCCTTTAGGAGTTATTGCCCTTTATAGTCAATTTTTAACAATTTTTCGTAAATTTTTGTAATCTTTTACAAAAATCTTCTTCTCTCAAACTACTGAGACAAATTTAACCATACTTGGCCATAATCATTATTAGGGTATCTAGTTTAAAAAATTTGTCCGATGACCCCGCCTTCCAACCATCATGGCCTACATGGTTAAAAATAGAACATAGGGGTAAAATGCAGTTTTTGGTTTATATCTCTGAAACTAAAGCATTCAGAGCAAATCTGACAGGTGGCAAAAATGTTCATCAGATTTAGATTTATCTGCCTTGAAATTTTCAGACGATTGTGAAAACCCGTTGTTGGGTTGCTGCCCCTGAGTTAGTAATTTTACAGAAATTTTGCAGTTTTTATACGACCGCAAAAAAATTTTGTGGTCGTATATTGGTATGACGTTGGCGTCGTCGTCGTCCGGCGTCGTCGTCCGAAGACACATTGGTTTTCGCACTCTAACTTTAGTTTAAGTGAATGGATCTTTTTGAAATTTGACCATAAGGTTAAATACCACAAAAGGAAGGTTGGGATTGATTTTGGGGGTTATGGTACCAACAGTTAAGGAATTAGGGGCCAAAAAGGGGCCAAAAATAAGCATTTTCTAGTTTCCAGACAATAACTGTGGAACGGTGTATGGATCTCTCTGAAATTATACTACAAGTTTCCATACCACAAAGGGATGGTTAGGATTTGCTTTGGGGGTTATGGCTCAAACCGTTTAGGAATTAGGGGCAAAAAAGGGGGAAAAACAAGGTTGTCCTGGTTAATGGACAAATACTTTAGTACAAAACATAATTTAAAGCAGTGTAAGGGAGATAAATCAAATACATCATTGAAATTATCTCCCTTACACTGCTTTTAAATTATGTATAAAGTAATGGTTAATGAACAATAAAGATAATTTAAAACAGTGTAAGGGAGTTAATCCAAATACAACGTTTTGGTTACTTC